ATCCACACTCGTACCTTCACCACTCTAGTGTATGGCCATCTAGTCACTGTTCCTCTTGAATACCTTCGTCATCTCTTGCATATCCCTAGGGTAGGAGAAGTACTTGCCAATGAGACTGAACTTGTGCACTTCAACTTTAACATTGAACATGAGTTTGTTCATCTCACTGGTCACACCTCTGATGCCTTTCTCACCCTCCCTTCTGCCTTTTTGCTGCCTTCCCTGCGTACTTTTCACTTTCTCCTCACTCGTAGGCTCCTTCCTAGGACTGTACTGCTCGACAGAGTCACCCCTCTAGATCTCTGGATCATTACTCATGCCACTCCCAATGTCCCTCTGGACTACTGTCGTATGTTATTTGGAGGGTTATATCCCTTTCAGCAGTTTGAATATCTGGGACATCTTCCCTTTGGTCCTCTCATCACCCTTCTCATTCTTCGCCTTGGGGTTTCTCTTGATCCCTTTTGTACCACCACTCCTAATGTTTATCTGACTGCGGATGACATTCTTGATGAGATTGCGGATGACATCGTTGAGGGGGAGGATGATGCAGAAATAGAGGAAGAATCTGCTGAGGAGGATCCTGAAGAGGATTCTGAAGAAGAAGATCCTGAGGAAGGTGGTGATGGTCATGACATAGAAGTCAACTGGATTAGTAGCGATGCTTCTGAGTCAGACTCATCTGACTCAGAGTTATCTGACTCCTCTGACCCACCTCCTCTGGATGAGGTCTTTGCTGCTCTGCAGGATATTCGAGATATCTATGGATCTGATTGAGTTCTTTGAGTGCTGACTATCTTTCTGGTTTGCTGGACATGTTTTACCAATTGAAGTAATTGGTTGAATAGTCTGTTTCTGGTTTGCTGGACATGTCTCACCAGCTTTTGTTTTGGCCTTAGCGGTTTGGTTTGCTGGACGTGTCTCACCAGCTATTGAATGGTCTTTACTGTGTTATGAGATTTGTTCAGAACTGTGCTTTTCTGTGGATTCCATCTTTGTGTTGCTCTGGGAAAGGTGTGTGCTCTTGTTTGCAGGTTTCAACGAGTCAATCAGCAATCTTAAACTTAGGGGGAGATTGTTAGACTGAAGAATCTCATCAAATCAAGTTGACAAATTGGATTGAACCAAAGATGGAAATGATGCATCAATCAAGGGGGAGCCGCGCTAATCAATGATTCAAACCTACAGTCACAACGGCTACCCAGCAAGGAAGGCTATATATACATCTCCTTTGTAGAACTTGGAAGTAGCTGTTTGAGGAATCCCTCGCGGTATAGGGCAGAGAGTTGGGGTAAAAACAGTGGCTTTGATCACACTGAGGTACAGGTTCAGTTGATCAGAGGTTGTAATGAATTCATGCGCGAATTCGGGTCCATGCGCAAATTCGGGTCTTGAGTCAAGCTCTTTGATTTTCACATTCGTTGTAATTTCTTCGTTCTTCTTTCTCCTTTATAGTCAAAGAAAATCAAAAGAGTCTCTCGGAATAATAAGTACTATTCCGGGACGAGGAGTAGCCCTGTGGCGAACCTCGTTAAAAATCTCGCTGTGTTCTTACTCTTTCAGCTTCTCTTCTCTCTACTGCAGCAGCAGTACTCTGTTCTCCAGTGCTCTGTTTTAAGCCGAAGCTGATTCAGGGAAGAAGAAGAAGATTGCTCTTCGTCTCTTCTCAGAAGAAAGCCCTGGGCCTATTCAATTTGAGCCCAACGAAGATCAACTGCTAAGTTGCGGGCCTAATTGTCACCGGGCCCATTCGATTAACAAAACTGATCAGCCTGCATAGTAAATCATCGTCTCTCACTCTCGTCCCCAAATCGAAGTTCCAAATCCCTAAATTGAAGAAGTAGCATCGCCATTTCACAACCCCACCCTTGCCATTTCAATTGTAACCAAATTGTTAAAAATATTAGCCTCCTGTAAATGAGATCTTGAACTCAATTTCATCCTTCCCCATAGTTTCCACGTAGCCATCCTCTCCTCCGCTCACCCTTATTTTGAAGCAATTGAAGAAAGTCATCTCACCTTTTTTTGTCCTTTTCACCAAAGAGGGAAACAAGTCCATACTTTCTTTAAAGTAATGTCTTTCACTTTCAGATACACAAACGAAGAAGATAACCACCGTTAATCATGGAAGGCCGAAATGAAGGCAGGCATGGAAGGAAAGGAAGTGCAGTTAGTGAGTTAGATGAAAAATATCAAATCGAAACGCATAAACGAAAGACCAACGAAGCTTGGAATTGGTCCAACCAAAAACCTGTCACTTCCTTCCCCATCATCCCTCTGCCCACTTGCACCATTCCCCGCACTTATGCCAATTTGGACCGCCCATTCCTCCTTTCCAAATCCAACGTATTTACAAAATCCCCACCATTAACAACTCCGAGCCCGTCGTATTTGTAGTTGTACGCGTATTATTGGCCCTTTCTCCCCCACCACTATATAAACAAGCCCATCCCCTGTTTCCCTCTTCTCATTCACTTCCTCCTCCAACCACAAGCAAACACACACACACTTGACACTCCCCTTATCCTGCTTTGCAATCCACAACCCAAAACGAGCAGCAACAATGGTGCTCTCCAAGATGTCCTCCCAATCCGACGTCTCCGTCCACTCCACCTTCGCCTCCCGCTACGTCAGGGAATCCCTCCCGCGCTACCGGATGCCGGAGACCTCCATCCCCAAGGACGCCGCCTTCCAGATCATCAACGACGAGCTCATGCTCGACGGCCGGCCAAGGCTCAACCTCGCCTCCTTCGTCACCACCTGGATGGAGCCCGAGTGCGACAAGCTCATCATGGACTCCCTCAACAAGAACTACGTCGACATGGACGAGTACCCCGTCACCACCGAGCTCCAGAACCGCTGCGTCAACATGATCGCCCACCTCTTCAACGCCCCGCTCGGCGAGTCCGAGGCCGCCGTCGGCGTCGGCACCGTCGGATCCTCCGAGGCCATCATGCTCGCCGGCTTGGCATTCAAGCGCAAGTGGCAGAACAAGAGGAAGGCCCTCGGCCTCCCCACCGACAACCCCAACATCGTCACCGGCGCCAATGTTCAGGTAAAACCCACCTACCCTTTCTCCATCCAAATCCATTACAACATCAATTTCTCCACGAATTCGCCTAATTAGAAACTTGTCTGTTCCAATTTGTAAATAAATAAGTGACTCTGTTTTGCTCTGTTTCACTCTGTTTTTGGAATTAAAATATGAACTTGTTTAGGGGTTTAATCTTTTCTAACCACTCCATTTATTGAAACTAACTAATTAGAAAAAATTGCCAATTCCAATTTGTAAAATTGGGTGACTTTGAGTTGACTCAATCGTTGACTCTGTTTTTCCCCCCAATTGCAGGTGTGCTGGGAGAAATTCGCTCGGTACTTCGAGGTGGAGCTGAAGGAAGTGAAGCTGACGGAAGGGTACTACGTCATGGACCCGGAAAAAGCGGTGGAGATGGTGGACGAGAACACGATCTGCGTTGCCGCGATCCTGGGTTCAACGCTCAACGGCGAGTTCGAGGACGTGAAGAAGCTCAACGACCTGTTGACGGAGAAAAACAGAGCAACGGGTTGGGACACGCCGATCCACGTCGACGCGGCGAGCGGCGGGTTCATCGCACCCTTCCTCTGGCCGGAGCTGGAATGGGACTTCCGCCTCCCGCTCGTCAAATCGATCAACGTCAGCGGCCACAAGTACGGCCTCGTCTACGCCGGCGTCGGGTGGGCGATCTGGCGGAGCAAGGACGATTTGCCCGACGAATTGATCTTCCACATCAATTACTTGGGCGCCGATCAGCCGACTTTCACCCTCAATTTCTCCAAGGGTTCGAGCCAGATCATCGCGCAGTACTACCAATTGATTCGATTAGGGCACGAGGGGTACCGAAACGTGATGGAGAATTGCCACGAGAACGCCATGTTTCTCAGGGAAGGGCTGGAGAAGACGGGCCGTTTCGAAATCGTTTCGAAGGAGATTGGGGTTCCCCTAGTGGCGTTCTCGTTGAAGGACAACAGCCAGCACGACGAGTTCCAGATCGCGGAGATGTTGAGGACCTACGGGTGGATTGTGCCGGCGTACACGATGCCGGCGGACGCGCAGCATATTACGGTGCTGAGGGTTGTGATTAGGGAGGATTTCTCGAGGACGCTGGCGGAGAGGCTGGTGCTGGATGTGAGTAAGGTGCTTCACGAGCTGGATACTCTGCCGGTGAGGCTTCATGGGAAGGTCGCGGTGGTGGAAGAGGAAGCGGCGGCGGCGGCTGTTGTTGTCGCCGCCGGTGAGGGAGGGAGTGGGGCAGTCAACGGGACGTTTTTGAAGAAGACGGAGATTGAGACGCAGAGGGAGATTATGATTTACTGGAAGAACTTCGTGGCCAACAAGAAGAAGTTGAAGAACAACAAGAACACCATTTGTTAGGGGAAACGACGGCGTATTGGAGTACTCTATCTATTAAGCTGGTGTAGTGGTGTTTATTAATGTGTTATTATTATGCTTAGTTACTGGTTAGGCTTTTGCTATTGAGCTTTTTAAAAATTTTGGTTTATTTGTAAGGTGAATTGAATCAAGGTATCTGGATTGTTTCCTGTGGATTTATTAATAATGATGTGAACAAAATATGATTTCATGAGACTTGTTTTAGTTTTAGAAGCGATTTTTTTATAAGATTGTTGTCAATTGTCTTTAATTTATTAGTGTAATCAATAATAGATTCGTTGTGTCGGCAGTCGGCTTCAATTTCCTACATTTATCGATTTTTCTAAATATAATAATTAAATGTCTTTTTTCCTAAAGCAATAATGATATCGGGTAGAATATATGTGCGGTGGAACGTAAATGGGAATTCCTATTTTGCTATTATTGTTTGCATGGTAGGGACGTGATTAAGCTATGTGTGGGGTTCGCTCTCATCTCAAGTTTCAACAATTATTGAGGGGATTTAAGGTGGTTATTATACAAATACGACATTTCCTTATAAATAACTTTATAATAATTAATTTATAAATTATAATCTCAAAAATTAAACAATGTAATTTCAAAATACATCTATTATATCAATGCATGCATTTATATTATAGTAATTCATAATAATACAAAGATTTAACATACGCAACTTCCAAACGACCATATTATCATTTTGGTGGCATTATATTTTGTGAGGTTGAATCTATGCGTTTCAACCTGAAGTTCTTGAGCTCTGTTTATCTAATTACTTTGGTTAACAAATAGGAGCTGTCCATTTTATGATAATAAAAAAAAAGATTTTCAATTTACAAAGCGCTTCTATTTCTTCTTCCTATTTCCATCTTTGACTTTGGTTTTCAGACTGTGCGCGTATAACACTTTTCGTAACACCACAACCATTTTTCTGACCAAAGTATTATTAGTTTTAGACTCAAAATGGACAATATATTGGCTATAAAAAAAAGAGATTGGGATGTTACAAGTAACACCAGCATATGTACACTTACCTATTGAAAGATGTTGGAGTGATTCTCAACGAGGGCGTTCAGTTTTAAGAGGGTGTAATCTAAAAAAAAAAATTGTAATAATCGCACACCTACAAAGCATGAGAGATCCATGGTGTAAAAGAAACAATCCAACATTAGAGTGAATGCCTTCACAGATGCTTTTAGGCCGCTGCCTAACTAGTTTTAGCTAAAGTATCGTCGACTGATTAAGGAAGCTACGTACAAATGCTTCCAGCGTGGAAGCTTTGATGAGGAATCAAAACCGAAAAAAAAAAAAAAGAACAGATGCTAAACCAACAGCAGCAAGCAATCCCTAGCTATTCTCTAACCCTTTTGCTTTAATTTTGCATTAGACAGATTCCTGCCCATCATCTGATGATTCCCTTCCCTTTACAACAACCACCCTGACACATTACATCCTGATCTCCATATAGCTCCTCCCTCCCTGCACCTCGATCTCCATTCTTCACTCAATTAGCAGCGGAAGTGCTAATTAAGTATATATATTATCATCAATTCGAAGAAATGGACGCGGTGGTGGTTTACAGGCGATCGGCGTCGAGGCTGACGATCGGAGCTCACCTGTTCGGGGTCCTGGCAATCGTTCTGATGCTGATATGGTTGCTGCACTACCGTGGCGGCATTGAGTACGACTCCGACAACCCTGCTCGCGTCTTCAATGTACTTGCTTTTACCTATAACCAAACCTCCCTCCCCTCCAGTTGATTTTCACATTACCGTGTTCTGTCTGTGTTAAACTTCCCCTGTTGCTCTTACTTACTGCTAGCTGTAACGTTCTTGCTTCAGGTTCATCCACTCCTCATGTTCTGCGGCTTCATCTTTCTCGCTGGCCAAGGTAACTCCTAACCTAACTGTCACCACCCTATAACAACAAACTCGACTGTGTGGTTCATAATTAAGTTGGAAACTAATGACACTCTATTGGTAATTTGATGTGTTCACGGTGAGTACGACACTGTAATTTCTCATTTCCAATACTCAATTGAGTTGATAAAAAAGTGAAATTTAATTTCTATACAAGTGTGGCCCTTTTTAAGAAATATGAGCCTTACATTTAATAGGCACTGGTTTTGAATTTTTTGTTATTAAGTTACTACTTAAAAAATTTGAATCTGAGACCTCCAGATTCTAGGCTAGTGATATTACCACTAAACCAATTCATTATTCGTTGAAAATATATGAATATTGACAGCTACAATCAACTCGAAAGTACATTTGATCTGGTTTTGTCCGGCTTTCATTGATTTATTAATGAGATTTTCTGAAATCAAAATTGAATCACACAATACTGATTCAAATATTGATGTGGTCTAATTTAATCCCATGTGAATGGTTTTTTTTTTTTTTTTTTTTTTGCATACCTATACCACCAAGCATATGAGATAAAGAAAGGGGGGAAAAAACATATGAATTTGGTAAAAACAAATTACAGTTGGATGAATTATGAGTGGTTCAATCACATCCCAATTTCTTACAAATAAAAAAAATTGCATACGCAGCAATGATGGCGTACAAGTCCGTGCCGGCAGCCAAAGAAGCACAGAAGGCCGTACACATGGTGTTGCACTTAATCGGAATAGCACTCGGCATCGTCGGAATAGCCGCGGTGTTCAAGTTCCACGACATGATAGGCGCGGAAGACATGTTCAGCCTCCATTCTTGGATTGGGCTCACCACCTTCATCATGCTGGGCCTCCAATGGCTGTTGGGCTTTTTCACCTACATGTTCCCCAAGGCCAGCCTGGGCACGAGGTCCAGAATGATGCCGTGGCACGTCAGCTTCGGCAGGGCGCTTCTGTACATGGCCGTCGCGGCGGCGCTGACGGGGCTCATGCAGCGGGAGACGCTTCTCAACCTCCGTGGGCACGCCGAGTCCCGGCTCATCAACTTCACCGGACTTTGTATCTTGCTCTTCGGCATTTTTGTCGATCTCTCGGTGGCACTTGCTCACCACGCATGACCGGCCGGCGAGGGTTTTCCGGCGGGGGAGTTTGGAAATGTGATTTGATCATCGATTCTTTTTTCGTACGTTGATGGGGACAGGGGTTTGTTTAATTTGTTTTCATGGAGTTTTCGACCCGAATTGAATGTGTGTTGTTGAGGATGATTTTTCACTTTGTCTGAGTTTTCTTTCTCGAGATTTGAATGTGTAGTGAATTTGGATTTTATGTATCGCTAAGTAATTTCGAAATGTTGATTCACTGTGATAGATGATGGGCTCGTTGTTCTTAAGCGAACCATAATAGTCAAAGATAGAATCATGATTTATGATTATTAAAGTTTGTGGAAAATTATATGATAATGAGCAAGACAATCCTTTGTTCTACATCGATTGAATATGAAGTGAAAACCCTTTCGGGAGGTATCAGGTCGATTGAAGAGTATGAATCCGAGTGTATTAATGTCAAATTATATTGTTAGGTTTTTGTTCGTTCGATCAAATATGTCTGGACTAGGTAATCTTAGTGATATGAGACATGGATTGGTTGAATGGTGCCCCTTCTCATATTAAACCCTCAAATTGAATAGATTTGGAGAAGGAAAAACGCTAAGGTAGAGTAGGTTGCCCGTTCTTTAACTAGATTCTCCCTTACGGATAACTTGATCAATATTAGATGATGTTTATCATTTAATCTAATTAGGTATCTATCGTAATTTCTAGTGGAATAAAGTTGACCTTATTGTACATGAAACCCCGTATGTAGTTTTGAACAAAGACATAAATCCACTCTTCGTAACTTGAATCATTGATCTAACCACAACCAAGTGATTGTCTATCGGCCTATGAAATATTATCCTACATTGACAAAGAACCGTAGTGATCAAGAGTTTGATTGCATTGAAAACTAAATTTGGATTAATGTCTTTACTCAAAGAACCATGGATGACCATTGAAGTGGCTTCGGCTAAAAACTTTGCCCTAATGCTATATCGATGCTTCTTAAATCTAGGATAATCTTGTGTCAATGGCCATCCACAAAAAAAGTTTATAAAACCTAAAAATAGTTTACCCATAATGTTCAATCAGATCAACAAATAAACTAGTCAAATAATCTGATTTTTTATTGTAAGGAAAAAGAACGAATTTGCCTGTATTTATGGAGATATACATCTTTCAATCGCAGAGCAAATTATAATAACAACTAAACCAAAAATTCAGCAAATGTAAAAATGCCCAAGCAAGCACCTTCAGCAATAGCAAAAAATAGGATATTCTGTTGATGGTCCTATCTTCAATTCATAATAACAGCCCACCACCATCCAAGGGGAGGAAGGTGAGAAATACATGGAATCTAAACCTTTCTTAGCAAATAATAATACAAAGGACAAAAGGCACGTTTTTCTCCTCCACTTTTCTCTTGTAATGTAGCCTCACCCACCATTAAAGAACCCATCTTCCCCATTAGCTTTCTGAGATTGTATGTAACAAATAAGCACACTAAAATTTAGTAGTCTAAATTTGATTAAATCGATAGCATACTAAGTATACCGATATTTAAAATAAAGTTATAGACACATATCGGTTGATAATACCATGGGAAGTCAATTTATCATATTGTTCACGTAGATACAAACATTTTCTCAATACATTGGGAAGTTTGATACGGTACCACAAACTAAAATTTAACACTACCATTTAGCAGCAGAAAGAAAAATGAAGGACACGTAATGCAAAATAAAGGAATTTTTCCATGAGGTCACCAGTTTTTCATCACTATTTAGTATTTATTCACAACAAGACACCTTCCCCACCAGTCCACCAGCCAACAGCAGCTCCAAAACCCTAGATCCTTTCCCATCTCTTCTTTTTGTTCTCCAGTTGTTAGAAGGCTTGACTTCTATTTTTCATTTCTTGCTTTTCAAGGTTTCCTTCCCCATATCATTCATCTCTCTGTCAAAAGGGGGGGGGGGGGGGGGGGGGGGGGGGGGGGGGGGGGGAAAATAGAATAGAAAAAGGAAGGAAGGAAAAACAACCCAAACTGTACCCATTACCCAACACTCACTCACTTCACAACCCCAAACGTACGTAAAGTTGGAGACTTTCCTTTGATTCTTCCAAAACCCAGTTTCCAGATCTATCTGATTTCTTAAACCCACATTCTCTCTCGGGTTTTCCTTAAGCTCATTCATTCATCAGTTTACCTGGACAAGAACATATATTAACCGATTTTACTCTGTTTGCTGGATTCTCTTTAATGCTGAGCTACGATTCTCCCCACTGGCTAGTTAATGAATGATATTATGAAGTAAATTTCGTATCTTGGCTCTTGAATTTGCTTGTTTTGCGTTATTTTGAGCTGATTGCCAGCTTGATTTTGTGCGATCCGCTTTGAAAATAGGTGAGAGATATAGCTGGAGGTTTTAAAGGAGATTCTAGCACAATTATCTGGAGCTCCAGTAATCTGATAGAGATCTGAGGATTTTCTAGCTGGCCATGTTTTCTGCCTGATAGTCGTACAAATTGTGGGTTAGTTGTCGGGGTTTTCTTTGAGGATATGGCTGTTCCATCAGGTAATGTGGTGATGTCGGATAAAATGCAGTATGCTGCTGCTGGTGGTGGTGGCAGTGTGGGTGGTGGCGGCGGAGCTAATGAGATCCACCCTCGACAGCAGTGGTTCCCGGTGGACGAGCGTGATGGGTTCATCTCGTGGTTGAGAGGGGAATTCGCCGCTGCAAATGCGATGATTGATGCTCTCTGCCACCATCTAAGGGCTGTCGGTGAGCCGGGGGACTATGATTTAGCTATAGGTTGTATTCAGCAAAGGAGGTTCAACTGGAACCCGGTGCTTCATATGCAGCAGTATTTCTCTGTTGGTGAGGTGGTATTCGCATTGCAGCAGGTAGTGTTAAGGCGGCAGCAGCAGCAGCAGCAACAACAACCGCAACAGCACCAGTACAATAGATACTATGCTGATCAGCCCAGGGCTGGTGCCAAAGAATTCAAGAGGTCTTTTGGTGGTGCAGGGTTTAACAAAGGGCATAGAGGGAGTGAAGCACCAAAAGAGTATGTTCGTACTAGTTTAGAGAGTAACAATTTAGATGGCAATGGTTCAGGAAATGTAAGTAGTGATACAAAGGAGGATCCTAAATCAGGTGCGACTAATGGTAAAATGGACGAGAAGGTTTCAGCAGTTGCCCAGGATAAGAAAGGTAATCACTTTGGTTTATATTTGCTACTGATTTCTGTTTAGTGTTTACGGCATGGTGTATGCTTCCGTTAACCCTGGCTTATGATATAACTGTTCTGCATACCTACATTTGGCCATTTTGAGACTTAAATGACAGTATTGAATGTGTTAGGAACCACCTGTCATGTATTGAATGATTTGAAGAAGTATGGATCTTTCCTAAATGGGCAATATATCTATATATGTGCTGGTATAGAGGGTCTTAGATGGAGGCAAAGATGGATTATGGAAGGGACTTTTCTTGGTAAATTTGGACCTTTGTGTGTTACTGACCGATAAGGAAAGCATCCAACTCACTTAGATTGGAATTCTGTTGTACATCGATGTGATTTTTCTTCAGAATTTGAGTAAAGCTCCATGGTATTTGTGGTTTCTGTTGCAATTTTTTTGCACTTTACTGCATATTGCTACACTGAAGTTGACAATTTGTTGTGCTATATGACCAGACGACTCTTATAAATGTATATATACTGCATATTGCTACACTGAAGTTTACTGCTATACTGAACTCTGGAAGGTTACTTGACACCCTCTTTCCATTATCAGGTGATCAACATTATTGGTTCAATTGCCAAATTAGGTTCTCCCTCTGGCATGCTTGACCCAAAAGAAACGAAAGCGACAATGACAATTAGAGTGTGTCAGTAGTAGCCCCTCACCTTGAATTGTTTTTTCTTTTTCCTAAAAGAAGGAAAAGAAAGATCCATTAGTCTTTATTTCTAAGCCTTTAGGTACACACAATCGTGTCCTTGTTAAGCTACTAGGAACTCTCATAGGGAAGACAATACAAGTGTTGAGAAAATTGCAGCTGGTAATCTGTTGATTTGCTAATTGCCTGGTGAGACATTCTGGGTTACGCATAGTGAACTTTATGCCAAAATGCGTTGATTGAGTTGCATCCTCGAAATCCTAATGCTTGTGCATAAAATCATGGATTGTCACCATACCTTGAACATTTTTGGAGGAAGTACTGATACCTGTACTTTCTGGTTATTGAAGCAGATGTTACCACATTGCCACACAAGGATAGCCAATTAAAGAGTGGTCGAACCTCAGAAGAAACCGTGTCTGGGAATTCAGAACCTGAGCCTGTGGCTGCTGATGATCAACTTATCCTCAAAGGTGTTCCTTCATTATCTCTTTGGCTGGCAAGCTGTGCCCATTTCCTCATTTCAGCCTTTGTATTTCTTTTTCCATTGTGGTGGGTTAGGGTGGGCAATGACATGATTGCTCCTCGTAGCTGTATAAATTGACATCTGCAGAGGATGAGGGAAATAAACTTTTCCGAGTTAAGTCCAATTAGCACTTGTGTATGTCAGGCCTCTAGGGTTCATTATCATCACTCAAAAAAAAAAGGGGGGGGGGGGGGGGGGGGGGGGGGGGGGGTTAATTATCACTCTGTTCCACACTTCCACTTGTATTCTCTCTAAGGAGTTCCTTTTGGTTGGTATCACGCTGTCATTATTAATACTATGCCTGTCATTGTTTTGTTGTTTGAGTGTTTTCTAGTTTGGAACTTTTCTTGTGGTAATGCAAAATCTCATCTGCAGAGAGCAGCTCGGTTATCAGTCAGAATCAGAATGAGATGCCAAATCCCAGTGGCAGTCCAAAGACTTTCATTGGAACAGAGATAATTGATGGAAAGGCGGTAACTTTTGTGACGGAATGACTTCAGTATTTCTGTTCTTTTTTCTGAAGGACTGATTCTTGATAGTAGATTCTCTCTTTCTTGGGGTTTCTCTTCTTCTTTCCTTTCTCTTAAGATGTGCTGATTTCTGCTGTAGGTTAATGTTGTCGATGGATTAAAGATGTATGAGCGGTTGCTTGACGACTCTGAAATCCCGAAACTGGTTTCGTTGGTTAATGATCTGAAGGCTGCAGGTAGAGCAGGGAAATATCAAGGTAAGTTCATTATCATATTTCCTTTCAAGTTGTTCACTCTGAATCATTTATCCCGGACCCTATCCTAGGTGGAGAATTTTGTTATTTTTATCAGTATCCATGAATATGTCTTGGAACAGCTACTGGCAGGTTGGTTATAAATAAGATTATCAATTATTCATGATACGTTCATTGTGTTTCTAACTTTGGAGCCCATTGAGCGTCAAAGTTACTGGAAGTTCAGTTAGGTCATTTTGTGTTTTTTTCTCATACCTTTCAGTGCATGGTTTGGATGCTTGGTTTCATTTTTCGGTTAAATATGAGTCATGGTTGTTTCTCTCCATATCTATGTATTAATTGCATCATCGAATGGGAGTTTATCAAAGGAATAGTTGGATGAGGCTACTAATGACATAGGGTAATATGTGCTCTCTGTCAAGCAGGTCAAACATATGTTGCCTCAAGGCGACCGATGAGAGGACATGGAAGAGAGATGATTCAACTGGGTCTTCCTATAGCTGATGCACCTGCAGACGAAGAAACCCCTAAAGGCAAGTTGCAGTTTCTTTTGCAATAATTGTGTTAATCCTTGATTGTGGATATAAAGTCCAACTAGTATTTCATGTTGAGTGAATGTTGCAGACCAGAAAATCGAACCAATCCCTCCCTTGTTGCAAGATGTCATTGACCGTATGGTTGGCGCACAAATCATGACCACAAAGCCAGATTCGTGCATGATCAATATTTTCAACGAGGTGGCTCAACTCTACCAAGTTATATATTTGCGTCCTGTAGCCGAAAGTTGGTTTTTCCTAGCCTGTATGTTAATCTTTTATTGAAAAACTTCCTGTAGGGTGACCACTCGCAGCCTTACATGTGCCCTTCATGGTATGGAAGACCTGTGGCCATTCTTTGCTTGACTGGATGTGAGATGGTGTTTGGCAGAACGATAAATTCTGACCATGCTGGGGACTACAGAGGCTCTCTCAAGCTAGCTGTTGAGCCTGGGTGGGTATAACCTTGTTTTAGTATTTCAAAGACGCCTGCATCTGTTTCATTCTGATTCTGAATCATTCACTAATATATGTTGCTCCAACAGATCGCTTTTGGTGTTGCAAGGGAAATCCTCTGATTATGCAAGGCATGCACTTCCTGCACTTCGAAAGCAACGGATTCTCGTCACCTTCACCAAGTCCCTACCTAGGAAATCTTCCCCTGGCGATGGTTCATCACAGCGTCATACACCATTATCCAACACAGCAGCCCATTCATCCTCTCACTGGGGTCCACCGCCAAGTAGATCGCCAACTCATCATGTTCGTTATGCTGGGCCAAAGCACTATGTTCCAACAACTGGTGTACTGCCTGCACCATCGATTCGAGCTCATCATCAGAATGGTGTTCAGCCACTCTTTGTAACTTCTCCAATCGCGGCACAGGTGCCTTTTCCTTCCCCAGTCCCCATCCCTACTCCTGTTCCAGCCACCTGGGCAGCAGCAGCTGGTCAAAGGCATCCCTCACCTCGCCTGCCAACTGTCCTGGTGCCCGTCCCTGGGACTGGCGTTTTCCTGCCTCCAGCAGCAAATGAAACTGCTGCTGCAGACTCGGCTCCTTCCCCACCTGAGAAAGAAAGCGGGCAAGGGAAGCCTAGTGAAGGAGTGAAGGCCCCGTTGAAACAGGAATGCAATGGAGTGGCAGCCAAGGCAGAAGAGCAGGTCACCGGAGCTAATGGAGTGTAGCGAGCGAGAGAGAGAGAGAGGTTTTGGCAGGTGAGAGAAGAGAGTAGGAGAAATGGTGGTAAGCAATGAGTTTGAAAGCGAAAAATGTAAAGAGCGGCGAAACATTGGAGACTATTTGACATGGATCATCTCATACTTAGTTACAACTGAGTGGGGGAGACTGAAAGGAGATGGTGGGAAGAAGAAGAAGAAGAGCTTGGAGGGAGGAGATGATGGTAAGAGAAGCTTTTGGCTGTGTTTCTCTTTTACCATTTCTCTCTACTTCCCTTTTTTTCTATGTTTCCTGTCTACTCTGATACATTTTTTGGTGTCTCACTATATATTACAGAAGTACCACTCAGTCACTCACTAGGATCAGTTCGGATTTGGATGAGAAAACCTCAGCCTCATTCTCCTTCCGTCTAATATTTGACATCATTATATCATCACCTAGCCAACTCTTTGATGCTCTTATTAAACAGGGACAATCTCTCATCATTGTGTTTCTACAGTGTGTTACCTAGTCTTCAACTCTTCATTCGGTCATTGTGGTTATGGTGAAAAGAGGGATTGCTTGTGCTCGAAATCGTTTGCACGCTTTGGGGATATGATAAATTGCATCTTTAGTTGATATTCCGTCAGTTAACTAGGACACAATATCACGGTCTCTGAAGTAAGTTAGCTACATGTACCACGAGCTCAAAATGATTAAAGTTACGATCGGAAAAACTTAGTTTAGATACAAAAGATTCAAAGAGAGAACTTAGTAAAGTTTTCATCCAAATTTGTTACAAGCTATTATTGATTATGCTCGGCGCACACATCTTGAATTAGGGATGAGCAAATAGCTTGTCAATCTCCAAATCATTACCCGAATGCAAAATTTCTAAGTACATACATGTCAATCATGAAGAACATTCTTACTAAATATTGTCAGACCTTGCTAATATGCAATATTTTGACAATTTCAGCGTACATCCAGTGTCTGTTATCTATGTCCAATAGAGCTTGTTTGTCAAAAAAATTATAGTATATGGACTAAAATGCCATAATCCCTTTTTAAAAACACATCAATGCAATAGAGAACAGAAAATAAAGACTCCCGAGCTCCCAGGCCGCCGGCGTCGGCCCTGCCTCCGGAACTGCGGTTCGGATTTCGGTAACTTTAACCCCTTATCATCCCCGATTCCACCGTCAATACCACCGGCGAGAATCAGAATTAGAAAGAGGATGGGAGACGATACCACCGGCGAGAAACAGAATCAGGCGCGTCTCATCATCCCCGATTTCCTCTCTCTTCAAGAGTGCAAGGTTTCCGCCTCTTCCTTCTTCTTCGATCGAATCTTTTCCCCCATTTTATTGCCCCCCCAACTTGAAAGAATTGGGGAATTTTGGTAGGAATTGGAATTCATTCATCGGAGCTGCTCCACCGTCGGTTATCGTCCAAATGTATTCTCCACCACTCTATCTCACCTCATCGCCACCAATTCTCCGCACCTAATCATCCCTTTCCTCTCCATCCGTGACCGCCTGAAAGAAAAGGTCGAGGAGTTTTTCGGCTGCGAGTACGAACTCTCCGTCGAGTTCACCGGTTTAATTAGGTAAACCCCAAGTTCTCTCCTCTCTCGCATATATGCTCTGTTCTTAGTTTCTGGTTATCACCACTCCGCTGCTTGCTGCAATTGCAGCTGGACTCGAGGCGCAAGCATCGGCTGGCACACTGATGATAACAGGCCTTACCTCAAACAGCGCCACTTCTCTGTACCTGCCTCTATGCCTCTTCTCCTTTTTCTGTTTCGCCATTTTATTTTGGATCTTGTGTTCACTGTTTGCCTTTTTCTGTGATGCTTCTGTTGTTTACAAAAGGCAATCTGCTATTTGAACACTTATGGCCAGGATTTCAAAGGTGGTCTTTTCCACTTCCGGGATGGTCACCCGAATACTCTCGTCCCAGCCGCCGGGGTAAACATTTCGACTTCCCTTTCAGTTTACAAATGCAGTAATATGGTGTATGTGAAGTGAATTGTCGTCTGATTTCTTGTGATGCATCCATTACAGGCTGTTTCGATCTATACAGCTGATGATCGTAATGTTCATTCGGTGGATGAGGTATTCTTGACACATAGTTGAAGAAGTCCCCTATTGCCTGCTGCATATGGTTTTGCATTTGTTTTCTGTGTTCTGATTTTAGGTTGGAGATCTATCAATCGGCAGATAATTGAAGGAGAAAGACTGACACTTACAATGTAGTTCAGCCGCGACAGTGCACATGATGAAGATGCTAAACTTATATCTCTTCTGTCTTCAAACATGCCTTGCTCTTCAAGCAAATCTGAAGAGTTGCTGCTTCCAAGGCCAGCTTCCAGCAATATGTACTGGTTTTGTCCGGGTCAAGTGCAGAATGAAGAATCAGGGTTTAATGTATGCTGTGCAAGGATTTACAGTGCAGGGTTTGATATCTATTCTACTGAAGAAGAGTTATCCTGTTCTGATTTCTCTGAACTGCTCGAACGACCACTGAAACTAGCAAGGAGTAAGGTGCTGTTTGAGCAAGAATTCACCAACATTTTGCATGCGCTACAGGTAATGTACGCAGATCAAAATTGGTGTGCTTAAGATTATTGGGTCATATGTTCAGTATTGAACTGTCTAGCCAGAAAAGTTATATAAACCCATCATAGTCTAAAGTTTGTGTCTTTTTCGTTGTGGTTAGAAAAATTCATCACAGTTTTGTTGTTGCATAGGTGGTACAATTTTTGTGGTGGAAGGCCCGTGCGCAAGTGAATTCTCTGAGAGTTGCAAAAAGGAGGGAGGTATGGTTACTGTCTGAGTTGCAGCAAGGAAAGATTGCCTCTCTGAAATTCATGTTTGTGAAGGATAATGAACTGGCAAATAAGATGTTTCGCGATGAGAGATGCTGTCTGCACGAATCCGACTGGACCGAGTTCACTTTTGCTGTCGATGAACTGGAACACTATTCTCGTAGACTGCAGAAAGAGTTGGTAATGAGCTTGCCTCATTGGCGAACACAACAAATCATATACAAAGTTCCCTTGTAATGGTCTTGACTTTTGCCACTCTGCAGAACATGGTACTTCTTTTTCATACCCCGCTTTTTATGTTCATCTCCATCTGGTATCAAGCTAGACTGTCATTCACTGATGACCAATGACAGGCGACCTAAAGTCTCTTAATCGATTAAGATTAGAACAAGTTACCCTTTCTAAGTGATAATTAAAAGTCCATGGAATTAACTGTATCATAGATGTCATTACTAATTACAGTGACAAAGTTACAATAGAAGACCAGGATCACGTAGTGAGGGATACTCGAATGATAATATCGCTGAATTAGTAACAGTAGTAGTGTGGTTTTGATGCTACTACATCCGAGAGACTGACAATTCCGATGTGCTCCATTGATGCAGGACTTCACCATTGATGCCATAATAAACGACACGAACTTCATCCGACGAGATCTGAAGCGTCATGAACCCCTGACCGTCGTAGTAGAACTTCATCTCATTGGGATCCCACGAGCTGACGTCACCCTTCCACGCTTTCGACCCTGCCCCGCTGGTGAGAAACTGAAGCTTGGTCCGGCTGCTGCTGATATGCTCCAGGCAGTGGTCGTGCCCATTCACGTACAGATCCACGTCGTGTGCCTCCAAGATGGGCAGCAGTTGAGCCTCCAGCTCAACGGTGTTGCCATGGTGGCCCGCGCTCTTGATCGTGTGATGCCCCACCACGATCTTCCACCTTGCCTTCGACGCCCTGAGAGCAGAGTCCAGGTCAGCCAGGAGGTTGGACAGGTAGGTAGCTCGGTCAGGGAGTAGGCCGCTCCAGTCGTAGACGTGGTCTTCCGGGTCGGTGAAGTACTTGTCGGAGAAGGGCGTGGTGTCGACGAAGAAGAACTCGGCCAGCTTGGTGTCGAGAATGAAGGATGTCATGCACAACCATCTGGGGTCCTTGTCTTGTAAGGCTGTGCTCAGTTGTGCGTCTACGTCGCCTCTGTAGTCGTGGTTCCCCAAAACTGGAAGCATGTAATGGAGTTACCAGGTTAAAAAAGCATTTTACCTAGTCCAACTTTTTACTGATGTTATGAGTCTGAAACAGTGAAATCAACCAGCAAGGAGGAGGGGGTTGATGAATTACCGTTGTACCACTGCTTCTCCAGGCTGGGTGCTGTGTAGATGTCGGCAAAGGAATGGTAAAAGTTGGGGTCGTCGACTCCTGTTAATCCGTCGTTGTAGAAGTTATCCCCGGTTGATATCAGGAAGTCGATTTTTGCTGCATCTGCAACTGCCCCCATCTGTTAAAAGTTAAAAAGGAAAAATGTCGGAGTAATTAGGGATTGAGAAATTACCACGGCAGTGAATTAGCTTGTCCAAGGCATGATGGTCAGATGGTCTAGAACTCTAGATAGTTAAAGTGTCCAGCAATTCTAAGTCACTGGTTCTCGGTTGAACCGAGTTTTTTTTTTTTTTAAAATTCAAACCATTTTATGAGTACATGCAGGTGCATAAGTAATCATTGGTTAAAGAAAATAACTATACATTATTTCTCTTAACTCTATATCTTAATATTATGGAAGTTTTTCTACAAATATATATCTATAATGACTAATAAAATCCATATTATTAGGTTTGTATTGTAATAAAGATTAATAACATTTATAAATCATTCATATTTTTCATGTTAGATACAAAATATCTTCATTTTGCTTTTTGGGTGCGGGTTGGGTTTTAACAAAACCCAAACCTTAGCCCAACCAACTAATTTCAAAGACCTTGGATTTTACCCGCTTTGACCGACTTGGGTTGGGTTAGGTGCCCATGAGTCCGGGTTCCGTTATCATCCTTATTTATAAGTTAATTAGTCCTAGTTGAGAAGTAAAGTCAAAGGGTGAAAGTGGGCCATGAAGTGAGTTCGAGTTCAGTGTCAGGACTGCGATTGTTATACCTTTACCGACCGGCCGGTTAGAATAGGTCCAACTATAGTCGGATTCCAAAATGGTCTCCAGAAAACCGGTGGTCCTACTACTAGAGAGTGAGGGAAGGAGGGAAAGGGGAGGGGGAGGGGGAGGGGTAGAGAGGGTAGGGAATGGTGGGTGGATCGCGTGGATTAGGTATATTTCTTTTTTAATAGATGTATGTGAACTTAATTTCATTTCTGTAATTAAAATTTTAAATTATTATCTTATTGTGAATAATATTTAAAAATTATATAAAACGATCCAAACAGATTAGATACTAATTAGATCACTGAACTTTAAAGGATAATGTTTATTTTTTATCCAAACTTTTTTAAAATTCTTTTATATTATCCAAACCTATTAAAATGCTATTAATTAGCCAAATCTTTCGCATTGCATCAAAATATTAGCTATTTTTACGTCATTTTAATAATTTTGTAACTCTTTTCTTGGTTAAAATACGAAAATTTTGGAATGTTGACCTTCATGTGTCTCTTCCAAGTCAGTATCATATTGTCAAGTCAATATTACAAACAAAATTGCTAACTGAAAGTTAATATTTGGCTAATTCTTAATATTTCGATAGGTTTGAATAATATATAAGAATCTAAAATATATTTAGATAAAAAATAGAAATTATCCAACTTTCAACCACCAGCTGGACTGGCTTAACAACATAAATTAGGTTGACAACCTATGTCACGACTTCAAAACAACGGCCACCGGCCCACCACCGTTGGCATCTTCCGATCCAGTTTGAAACGAATCCAATTATCCACTATTATGGCATTCGGTAATATACATATATTAATCAGGAAAAAACAGAACACATATAATATTACAATCATACGAAAAGATGATAATGTGTGTTTTAATGAAATCACGAGAAATTTTACAATGCTATAGGTTTTTACCTTTATGGTATAACTTAAAATTGTACATTTATGTTATGGTACAACTTCAGATTGTACCTATAATTTTGGTACAAATTCTTTTATGGTACAACTTGAACTTGTACCTTTATGTGATGGTACAACTTCAAGTTGTAAAGTTGTACCATAACATAATAGTACAAATTGTTTTATGGTACAACCTAAACTTATACATTTGATGTTATGGTACAAGTTTAAGTTGTACATTAAAGCACCAATGCTATATAGTATAGCAGAAGTGCTCTGAAATCACATGCATCATGCACATTGCACATTGCTGTCCCCCTTATTCCATTTGGTAAATTTAATAAGCCTCTGTTTTTCTGTTTATGCCATCCTTATTTGAGGAAGAAAAAAATTGACAATGAAATTTGAAAAGGAAGATTTTGTAATCCAGGCAACTAAGAGAAAGGGTTAGGCTCGGGCTTGTTCAAGTGCTACTACCGCTAGTCTTGAATTTGAAGGATACACATGTTTCGAAGCTTTCTAGTAGCACATACTCTTATATAAAAAAGTGGCTATAAAGACAGACTCAAAACGATTATATAGATTGCCAAACTAATCCATACAAACTCCAATACTCCATAGAGAAAAAAAAGGCTGATTTTCCAACACCATCATATCCACATCCACATCACAGGGGAAACAACAACAAAAAAAAACCTGCTAAAAGCTAGCCCACCCATTTATGATACGATGATTAGCCAATTTAATTATCATCCTTTTTGTCGGGTAATCAAGCATTCACAGTTTTAAGTTACGTAGCAGCTATAGACCGGTAGCTCGTCTCCTACGGTAATTACCAATTAGACAAAACCGCACATATGGAGAAGGAGAACCATTATATTCACGGCACGGCACGTCTCTTTTCTTTTCTTGTTTTCGTTTTCAACTGTGTATAAAAAAAAGAATCAAACAATGATGTCGGCAGGAGGCGTGTTTGTCCTCTCAATCGGCATATTGGAATCTACCTCGAATTATGCTCTATGAAACCAATATATACTGGCCAAAAAGACTGGCAACGTGTCAGAACATGAATGGTCAGTGCAATGTCTGTCCACTATTTTTTTTTAATCTACCCAGCCAGTAACATTGGTCGTTTGCTTGTTGGATTTGGGTCATGGATTTGGTACTCAAATCACAAGGGATTTAACATAAGTCCATTATTTGTTGAAGGATGCAAAACCAAATCCGTGAACCCCACGGACTTGTAAATCCCACATATTGATTTGGGATTTGCAAATCCTTGATGGTTAGTTATTTATTTAACAAATTCATTGTCAAATCTATCATGCAAACATTAGACTCTACAAATCCATAATCCAACATAAATACCAAGATTTTTATTGGCCAAACCCTCATTTTTCAAATCTAACAAGCAAACGACACCGGACCATTGCATTGGGTAAATAGTAAAAACTATCATATTATTTACTGATAGAACATGATAGAACTTGTTAGCCGTCGGATTGTAAAATAAATATTAAAAAAAAAGTTAAGAGGATACAAGACACGATGAAAGTGGGTTAATCTATCAACACTCACTTTTTTTTTTTTTTAAAAACTTTGGCGAACTGAGGACCAAGTCATTATGAAAAGCTAATGAGAAGAGGGAAGAGAGATATTGAGTAGTACCTGGGTGGCAACTTGAGTTTGGTTGTAGGCTCCTTTCCTGCCCCAGTCTCCGACCACCAACACGGCCAGGGATCCGTCGCCGTTGCCGGCCTTGAAGTACTTCGAACCGCTGTGCTCCAGCCGCGGCAGCTCCGCCAGTGCCGCCGCTGCCATGAACCATACGACGGACGACAACAGGACGGCCACCCTCATCTTGATGCTCGAGAGGCCACCACGAGAAGAAGCTACCCGTTGTTGAGAGAAAAAAGGAAGGATAGGAGGAAATCAACTGATTTAGGTGACAACGTACGGCGCCTAACCTCTTCTATTTATATATTTACACACTGCACGCGGAACAAACAAAGGAGGGGTAGGGAGGAAAGTGACTTTTTTTTCTTCTTCCATCCACGTCGAAACAATTAAAGAAACGGGGTTCGGTGATTTCTTTGTGTAGATTATTGTAGTGGAGGGTCGAGGTGATTAACAAGTAAGGCCAACAAGAACTAATAATGGTGGAGAGGTATATTTTTATAGAGCAAAATAATTTTGCAATGGATCGGCCTTTTTCTATTTAATAAAAGTTGCGGTCGGTGGTGAGAAAGGAGTTCTTGTTTGGTTTTACAGGATCAATGTTGATACGGGTTAGTTGAAACCAAGAGGGATAAGATTGGAGGTGTATACTAACTTCTGTGGAGCGATTGTTTGGCATACAAATCCAATAAACAATGGATTTTTAAAAAGTTCAATTTCTATTGTATAAAGTTTGGGATTTGATGCAAGATCTCAAATTCTTAGAGGTATTTGAGATACCTTATATATTTATAGAGTAATTGCAAGATTGGCCACTAAGATTACTAAAAACGTTCATGTTTGATCACCGGAAATATTTAATTTCAACGGCGGCGGAACTCAAACACGGAGCCAGCTCGAGGAGTTGGCGCTTGAACTCCAGAGGGAAGATGACTCTGGGCCTCTGTCCCCATCAGATATGGGCCTCTGTCAGAGAACAAAGAAGAAACTAGGGATGGCAACAAAATCCGAACCCACGGGTACCCACCTGACCCAACCCGGTCAACGCGGGTAAAATCCGTGTTGACGGGTTTTGGGCCGGGTTTGGGTTTAAACCCATTCACTATTCACCGAGTTGGGTTTGGGTTTAGGTAAACCCGACCCATGGGTACCCGCCCACACTCATATAATTATTTTATTGGTATATTTAATATTCTAAACATCTAATCTTATTTATGTTTGTGGAGACATGTCTAATTTTTTCTTTTTAGTTACGTAGAATGAAATTGATGTTATCGAGTGGAGAGTGAAAAAACTTAATTGAAAGGAAGAAGCTTTCAATTAATCATGTTATTTATGGATAATTTGTGATTTGATTCAATTTTCTTGAGTTTTCTAGATTGGTGTTAAACAATTTGTATAGTTAATTTCTGATTTGCTTGAATTTTCTAGAATGGTATATATGGATAATTTGTATTGAGAGATTGATATTTGAGTAATTTGACTTGAACTTTGATAGGAATTTGTTATTGTTAATTTTTTACGACAAAAACCCGTGGGTACCCATGAACCCGCGGATACCCAGCGGGTTGGGTTGGGTTTGAGTTTTTCAAACCCAGTGGGTTTTACCCCGGGTTTTTTTCACGGATAAACCCATGGATTTGGGTTTGGCAAAACCCGACCCAACCCGACCCATTGCCATCCCTAGAAGAAACCCATAAGATTGCGTCCTGAATCTTGCCAAAAATCGTATCCCTTTAAAGCCAGAAAAAAGAGAGGAAAAATCTTGATCTCGGGTGGAACAAGTGGTCCTCGACTCGCTCTACTGCTGCATGTCCGATTGGGAGAGGAATCCTCGTCATCTCCAACTCGCCGCCGATAAGTCTTTGCCGGTGGTGAGGATTGAGGACGAGGAATAGGAGAGCAAGGCACCAGTGTTGTGAATGCCATCGAGGGATTGACCTCCCTCTTGCCGCCACTCTTAATCGCCATCACACCTGCATGGCGTCAATCGCATCCACCAACATCGATCCACGAAGAAAGTGAGAACAGGGGAGTGGCCGGAAGATTGAAGGGGGACATTGGTTGGAAAATGGAAAGGGAGAGAAGATGGGGAGCCGGTGGTAGGGTTTAGGGTTAGATCACGGGTTGGGAAGGGTTGGGTTTGGTTTGGAAAAACTGACGAAGCGGGTTTTGATGACATGGCGGGTCGGATTTTATGATGTGACGGGTTAAAATAGGATGAATCACGTCAGCAGTTAATTGACGGTGTTCACAGAGATAGAGGGAAACTAACGGAGAGTGATCAAACTTAGATTGTTTTATAAAATCTAATGACCATGAACTGAATTAAATATTTTCAATGACTAAACATGAATGTTTTTAATGATCTCAGTGATCAATCTTGCAATTAACCCTATATTTATATGCCGGCCTAATATTTCCACTTCAGTTAAAATTTAACATTAGTGAAGTAATTAAACATACTCTTAAACTCACAAACCCAATATAAGATCAAGTCCAACAAATTTACCAAATCTCCAATGGGCAATGCCTTCAAATTCATAAAAATAGTTCTCCATTTTTTTTCAAATTTTCAAAGTTTTAATCAAAGTGCGCTTTTTCAAATCCTATAAACAAACAACCATAAAAAATTAACAAAATGTCAAAAAACTAAACAAAAAAAAAAAACGAATTGGGTTCACCATGTTTTCATCCTTTCTGATAAATAATTTTTATTTTATTAACATTTAAGATTTAACATGACAATGGATTACATAATCAATTTCTCTTCCATCCATGTTCATAAATCATAATCTAATTAACCTATATTTATCCATTTATGCAATCATTCGTGGAAAAAAAGTATGTAATTCCGGAATCATCTATGAGATTTGGCTCATCTTTGTATTGGATCTCCATCCCGTACTGTATATATATGTCGGCTCTTTTCACCAAATGAATTACAAGACAAAGGATCCCCTCAAGACCCATTATTGATTGAACCATAACGACCCTTGCCTTCGTATACACACAATAATAACACTGCAATCATGTGTTGTCCAGTTGCAAATAAATATTAGCAGGAAGGAAGGATACGCACATATATAGGAAACTTCGGTTGTCAATTATCGTCAACCAATTATTCCTCAATTTATTTGTTTCACTTGGCCAGTTACTTATTACCAGCTCGTGGCCACGTCACTAGTAAAAGATAGGAATTGTAACATCTAACACGTCTATTGAAAAAATAGTAATTAAGAGTGGAAGTATGTGTGGCAAAAATAATACAAGTTTATTGTGAAATGATTAGGCGATTTTGTAAGTGTTGAGAAATTAATCCCTCACGTTATGTGAGTTGCAGAGGTCAGGGGCGGAGCTAGGATTTTGAGACCGGGGGTCGAAAATAATTAAATAAAAAATAGGTTGTCTAGAAGGATCAAACTAGTGTGCTTTAAAATACAAGTTCAACTTGGCTACCACTAGGCCACATTACTATTACATGATAGAATTAACAAAATAATTTAAACTTATAAAATTTGTACTAAATATCCTTAAGATCCTATGAACCGAGAACACTCCTATGTTGAACGTAGCTCCGCCCCTGGCAGAGGTTGTAACTTGTAAGCAGTTATTTGTTTAGATGGTCTAATAACGAGTTGGTATCCTACTCAAATTTGATATGGAACTAATATGTGGAAATCGGATACTTATTTACTTAGCAATTTATTGGGGAGTTAGGTGAAAGTTACTAAATACTCCTTTTAATACACGTATATGTACCCAATTGTATTTTATCCGTTTAAAACTTCCATATTCGTATTATTGTGAAGCCGTTTTATTTTTTCCCCTTCATTTGATAGCTCCAGTATTAAACACGTATAAAACCCGTATAACACGTTTAATATCCGTATTTAATGAATTAAATTTCAATTTTACTATTATTAATATATTTATTTATTTTCAAAATAATATTTTTTTCTATATTTATGACAATTGACGTACTATTAAACGTAACATCAACATAGAGATGAAGTAAAATACGCGTACGTATTTTATACGTAACTTTCCCATACCATATTTTACTAACTATGGGTGAGACTAGTATATATAGTTTTTTTTATAATGAAGTATATATATAATTTAGAGGTTGTGGTTCTTAATACATCGAGACAAAAAATACTATCTTCTTCGACTCATCCGAAAGATATGAAATCTTCCTCATCAGGGGCGGAGCTAGGATTTAAAGTTCGGGGGGGGGGGGGGGGGGGGGGGGGGGGGAGATAACTTTGTATAGCCAAAATGAAATAAAAAGAAAGTAATGTATATAAGTATATAACAATATAACATTAATTTAAATAATCGAAAGCACTCAAAATAGAATTAATTTAAAGTTTTCTAGTATGCTATGCTCAAAGTAAATGATTATACTAAGGAAAAAATGTATCATATAATTTTTTCAATTTTATTATGCATTGAATATGATTTTATGATTATATTAATGTTTGTAAAAATTAATTAATTAATTAAATATAAAAAATCCTGGAAGTTCATGAACTCGGATGAGGTTATTTAAAATTATAGGATATATAAGACAAGCATGAAAATTAAAGGATATAGGATCAAACCAGTGACCATGGAATTGCAAGTAGGTATCACCTCCGCTAGGCTGTAAATCTGCCTTGGTAACAGTTTTTCAATCAGATTGTATCTATACTCACATTATTTTATACGTAATTTTTGAAATTTCCTACGATTATATACGTAAGTTTCAAAATTCTCGGGGGGGCCGGGGCCCCCCGAGAGCCTACATAGCTCCGCCCCTGTTCCTCGTATGAACTATATATAGAGGGTTGATTGATGAATGTTACAAAACCTTCTGGATCATGATCTAAATGTATCGCCCTGTTATTGATCATCTTTCAGTTTCCACATCCAGTTCCTAATGAATAATCAACATGAGTCTGTGTAACTTTATCGATCTTTGATAATCCGTCAAAATAGCTTTTTCGTAGAATTGTTTATGTTCAACTTAATTCCTAAAAAAATCTTCTGAGTGGTATATGAAGTGATTAAGACCACGAGTTTATGGAAGTCTATCAAAGAAAATTAGTAGAACGGTAAGAATAGGAAGGGTAAAGTAAAATTCAGTTTCACGATAATTTAAATTATATTCTAATGTTATAAAGTTAGAAATTGAAAGGGTGTATTAGATCAAGAAGTTGATTATTTGATTAACTGAAGTGACCAACAAACGCCAAATAATTGAATCAAATGGAGTAACTAATTTTTTTTTTATTAGATAAAGAAGACCTTCCTTACTCTGCCATTTCCATCCCCCATCCATGTTCAACATAATGGAGACACCAATAGGTGCCAACTGAATAGTTCTGTTCTGTCTGCTGTGCTTGATCTTGAACGGTAGCTAGGATTTTGTATATTCAAAGATAAAAACGATCGAGGCCTCAAGTCTAGCTTCTTGGACTTGGCTAGCTAGAATTATTGGTGACTACGTACTGGCTAAGAAAGAACAAAATATTTTTGGACTCAAATGGTGTGTGTTAGTAACATCAAGCCCATACTCCCATGTGATGTGAGCTTTCTGTTTTGGTCATGATCGAATTGAAAAGCTGGAACCTCATAATTCACAGTTTAGTGAGTTGTGCGTCGACCCTAGTTATCTGAAACTTTTTTTTTTTATAACTCATGAACATCCCCATTCCCCACACACATTATTGAAGTACTCCACAAATATCACCATTAGCGTCGCCGGAAATACCATGAATAGGCCTCGAGGAGGGTCAAACTCAGGACCTGCCACATCTGGATCGAGCACCACACAAGGGTTTCATCAATCGGGCTATGTGAACTTTGGTTACTTATCCGAAACTTAGGGGTCGTTTGCTTGTTGGATTTGAAAAATGAGGGTTTTGGCCAATAAAAACCTTGGGATTTATGTTGGATTTATTGGATTATGGTTTTGAAGAGTCTAATGTTTGCATGATAGATTTGATGATGAATTTGTGATGGATTTGTTAAATAATTAACTAAGGGAGGAGTTAGAGTGCTAACTCCATAAGGGGTTAGCACGGTACTAACCATTTTAATAATCATTTATTTAAAATTTATTAGTTTTAAATACATCTGATGATGATGGGATTAATGAGGGGTATTTTTGGTAATTCATGAAATCAAATTTAATAAATTAATTAATTTTTAAAATACGTTTCCTCTCTCTTTTAGAGAATAATTATTTGGCAATTTGTATCGAAATCATAATATAGTAGCAATTCTGATATCTTATAGTAGTGTTTTAATATAAATATCGTAGCTATTTTATTCTAGTTAGTAATGTTTTACTGATTTTAAGTAGTAATTTTGGTGGCTCATATAGTAGTGTTTTTATACAAGTACCACTAGTTATTTTAATTTAATTTAACTAGTACTACCGATTATTAATAATCACTAATAAGAATAATTAATTTCTATTAAATTTGGAAAAAATTATAGTACTTATAAGCAAAACGCTATTAATAGTTAACAAAAACCAATATTTACAATAAAAATCACTACTTAAAAATAACTACTACGTGCTAATATATACAAATAAGAATCACAACTACCGAATCACTACTAATCAATGAAGTTAATTACACAGATATTTACAAACAGAAACACTATTGCATTAAATAATCACAACTAATCAACGCTACAATAGAGCACTGCCTCTTTGATAATGGATATGGGGAAATCTCGTCGCCACACCCACCAAGAGGGTTTTGATCATCAAATTAAGCACACTTGTTTCTCACCATTCGCTCGGTCACTGTTTGAGAATAGCCAATTTCTTGATGGCTTTGGGCGCAAAACTGGCAGCGGAGTCCAGATCTGGGCGGTGGTGAACCTGACAAGGAAGGATGAGGCAGCAAGAGGGAATTTTGTTGATTTTCTCTCATTCAATGGCGTCAGATGCGGGGACTGGTGGCGGATCACCAGATCTGGGCTGCGGTGGACCTAAAAGAACCGTCACCTCCAACGTCTCTTCGGGCAGAGACGACGACATGAACACCCTCTCCAATCTCCATCACCATCAGCGCCTCCTCCGTTGCAAGCCTTCTTTCTATGTTTTTTTCTTGGGGTAGGTTTTGACGGCACAATGATGGGAGATCGGCAGAGGAAACCGTAAAAGTGAGTAAGAGGGGGTCAAGACTATTTATATTAGGGTTTTGTAACCTATTGACTATATTATCCCTTAATTAATCCTGACCCTAGAATTACTATTTGAATCTTACGGTTGTTATAGTAGTTAGCATGGTGCTAACTCCTTATTAGGTTAGCATCTAATCTCATTCCAATAACTAACCATCAAGGATTTGCAAATCCCAAATCAATATGTGGGATATACAAGTCCGTGGGGTTCATGGATTTGGTTCCAAAATAAAGACCAAATCCCCACGGATTTAGCACCCTTCAACAAACAATGGACTTATTAGGGGTGGCTATTTGGACCGGATTAAAAACCGGAAACCGGACCGTATAATCCGGACCGAGACCGTACCGGGACCGGATAATAAACAATCCAATCCAATCTTTGGGCTTAGATTTTAGGTAAAAAACCGGATAAAGACCGGATAAGAGAGCTCAACACCCAAAACTTAAGGGTAATTTGCATAAACGGTCACAAACCTTTGCACTTAGTACAAAACTTAACCAACTCCTCACCCTTTAAGGCCTTAGGCCACTCAAATCCCACAATCTCAATGTAAAATCAAGACCGAATTGGGACCGGACCGGATCAAAACCGGACCGGATCAAGACCGGACTGTATCCAATCCAATCTTCGGTCCTTATATTTTCAAAAAGACCGGACTGGACCGGATCAATTTGGGCCAATTTAACCGGACCGGACCGTATAGCCACCTCTAGGACTTATGTTAAATCAATCAAACTTACCAAATTCATGACCCAAATCCAACAAGCAAACGACCCTTAACACAAACTGGAGGGTTGAAAAAGAAGGAAAGAAGTAAGAACGTTAACAAGATGGAATGAGCCCATTAATATTGTTTTAGCTAATGAGCACGGCCATTTTATCGTTTTTGGGCCTTACACTTTGTTTCTCTGAACACGGGCTTTCATTTTCAATGTAGCCCTTTTTTTTCTTTCAGTTTTAGATAAGATTTCACCATCTATTTTCAATTTTTGCACAAGAAAGCAGAAGATAACACAATTCTAACATTTCATATTAAGTTTGTTCCTTTACAAAGAAACAATGGAGATTGCATGTTGCTGGGATTCCCTAATTAATGTGCCCTTTATTCAAGTCAATTTCTTTGGGAGTTCTGAAAAATTTAAGAATTGTGAGTTGAAATCGAAAGATCAATAAAAAAACAATCATATCATGTCAACATTGACAGTGCCTTCACCCCAACCTTCTCCTCGCGAGGATGCCCAAAACCTCCATCGTGCCTTCAAAGGTGCCTTACTCACCATATTAACAAATTTCATTCACCTTCTAGCTAGATTAATTTGCATTGCACGACATAGATTTGTCACCATTTTGTGCTGGCATTGGCATTTGTCAATCTCTATTTCTTAGGAAAACTTTAGATCTCATATTATACCCCACGAATCGTGATTTTATCCCTTCCCGATTGATTATGAAATTGTTCACAATTCCGAAATAATTTTGAATGTATGATTCAATGTAGGGCTAGGCTGCGACACGGGAGCAGTGGTGAACATTCTGGCACACAGAGACGCATCACACCGTGACCACATCCTCCAAGAGTACGAAACATTGTTCTCCCATGACCTCCGTAAGGTCTTAGCCGATGAACTCCACGGCAATCTCAAGGTACGCACATACACATACCATTACTTCCTTAATTAAAACGCGTAAAATATTGACCGCACGCAAGGGTTTGAGTCAGTCCCGTATTAATCCTTCCCTTTAGAAAGCGGTCCTCCTATGGATGGAGAACCCAGCGGAGCGCGACGCCATCGCGCTCCGCCAGGCAATCAAGTCGGTCCCACTTTTCGACGCCCGAGGCGTCACCGAGCTCATCTGCACTCGCACGTGCGCCCAGATCCGACAGATCAAACAAGTCTACTCCTCCAAATGGAGCTCCCTCGAGGACGACATCAAGTCCCACGCCTCCGGCGACCACAAGCGCCTGCTTCTCGCCTACATCAACACCACGCGCTACGAAGGCCCCGAGATCGACGCGCTCTTGGTCGAGAGCGACGCCAACTTCATACGCAAGGTGAAGGCCGGGAGCTCGTCGGACGAGGCCGTTTTGATCGAGCTTTTCACCGAGAGGAGTAGGGCCCACCTCGTCGCTCTCCGCTCGGCTTACTTCACCATGTACCAGAAGGATCTCAGGATGGTGCGCTTTACGTAAATATTGAATAATACTTCAGCTAGCTGTGTTAGTGTGTGGTATAAGATTCATTACGTATTATATGTATGCATGCATGCAGGCGATAAAGGACGTGACGTCGGGGAGTTTCAAGAACGGGCTGTCGGCGATCCTGCAGTGCGCGGAGAATCCGGCGAAGTACTATGCCAAAGTGATGAGGAAGGCGATGAGAGGGCTGGGGACGCACGACACGGCGGTGATAAGGGTGGTGGTGACGAGGGCGGAGATCGATATGGAGGAGATTAAGGTGGAGTACAAGAAGAGGTTCAAGAAGCCATTGGTGGATGTTATTCATTCGGAGACTTCGGGACATTACAGATCGTTCCTTCTCGCCCTCATTGCTGGCTAGCTATATGCATGTACATTTATGCATTATTAATTATATATATATATATATATATATATATATATATGATTGCTAGATGCTCAGTATTCTTCTTCTTTTGGCTTGTGATAAATAAGACAACCTTTAATGGTCACAATATATAAAATACAACCGATTTGGGGTAGGTTACCGCGGAAATATATAGTGGGTTTAGGATCGAAAATATCAGAGTAAATATATAGCTGGTGAAGAATTTGAGAACCGCGAGAACACAAGACAATTACGTATTCTTTATTTATTTATTGAACAACACTAATTCATGCGGTGCGTTCAGAAGAGGTTACAACTGACGATTTTATTAAAGGACTATATATTGTGCTACGTATCCTGCTTGTGACAAGTCCACGGCTAAGCTATGTATATATATAGAACATACGCGTGGCTATTTTTCGACGACATTCATTGTAATATACATGATGAAAGTATTTTATGATTAGAACTCTACACGAAAATATGTCCTTGAACTTGCTTCTTTTTTTTTTTTTTTCACGAACTCACCTTAAATAAAATCCTGACTACATCATGAATTACTGACTTTTTCGAATAAGAAAGTCTGCCATATATGACCCACTACGTACCATCCTTATTGACAACACTAAGCACTCGAACTGTAACATAATAGAATATATACAATTTTAGGAGAATATTATTAAAAATAGAAAATTTTCTTACTATAAATGGACATCGAAATATCTACGTAATATACCACAAATCATATCATGCATGCATTCTTCCCACAAGCTAGTCACCACATTCACATATTGTATTTTAACAATCCATTTATTTATTTCGGTATCTTTATTTCAAATGCACACATCCATATATCGTCACAATATTATACATACATAGTTTAGACAATCACACTAGCTTCATCGGCCGGAGAAGCGTACATCGTCATATATCAATAACTGGAGAAATAAGTCAGCCAGCCGATCGACTTACTTTCTCTCGCCGGCGGCACGTACAGTCATCACCTTCCTCGGAGAAGCCAATTAAACTGATAAACCGAGTTGGTCGTCAAATGGTCAAGTTAAAATGACAACTATTTATAGAACAATCTTCACCTGTAAGAAGACAAAAAAAAAAAAAAATAGTTAGTCTCTTTATTACCTGAAATTTTTGGCACTGCAGGTTCAAACTAGACTCCAATGATCATATTTTAAATGTTAATCATCGCTGTTTGTTTAATATGATACTGATATAACTTGGAAAATTTATGACAACTACTCCATGTATTTTCTGCGACTCATAAATTGGTCGTATATTAATGTTTGATTAACGAGACGAATTTCTAAAGGCCTGATCCTTTAGAATCTGGTTCACTAACACGATGTGTGTTAGCTACGTCCACGGGCGAGAGAGAGCCAGTTTCACTATATCGAGGAGATTACAGATTACAGAGGAGTATGAGAAGTATTTATAGTACTTCTCCATGTGGGTCTAAACCTAATCCAATATGGCAAAGGAAACGGTTACAGACCAGGCCCAGAACCCCAACCCAAATAACATTGAGCCCATACACCGTGGGCCGGGGGCGTTGCCCCTGGACCACACTCGTTGACCGGACAGCGAGACCCCCGATTACCAGTCGTAGCGGCTGATAGTCCGATTCAAGTCACATCAACATCATCATTCAATTTGAAGCTGATGACGGGGAGAAATGAATTGTCACTGGCAGCCAAGTACAAATGGTTGGAATAAGGATCTTCATAGCGAGCCACAGGGGTCGCATTGGTGGTGGTGGAGGCACCGGAACCAGGAGAAGTGAGATCTGCCATTGTGAAAGGAAGCAGCTAGAATCAAAAGAAGGAAAGAAAACGAACAGAGAAAAGGCAGAACAGGCACTCCAAGATCGGAGGCTCTGATACCATGAGAAATCCTGAAACCCTAGCAGTAAATTAGGGTAAAGCAACGAAGAAGAAGGGAGGTAACGTTGGGGGAATTTTCCGATTGGCTTCATTCCATTTTCTGAAAGCAATATATACAGCAGTTCTCTAGTTGAGTTACCACTATCAAACAACAAAGGTAAAGTAGAATACTGTTTACTAACGGTAACTAAACTAACCAACTATAGAATGCCAAGTGGCTAGCTATCTAACATTATCCGGTTCACTATGCGACACCGTTCTCCTCTTGTAGAGTCTACTACTTAGACGAAAGCGACGTCGGTTTGGGCAGCCTATTCTTCGTCTTCAACACGGGTGAAAGGAAGGCTGAGTTGACTCTAAACATTCAAGCTCTCCATCTGTGGCTGCCAACAGCATCACTCCTTCACAGAGACTATCTGAAATGTGACTACCTTCCCATTATTTATAGTCGAAAGCCCTTCGACGTCATCCTACTATTTCACTCATTGCTATCGTAGCATTTAATGATTCATTACTTTTATTCGGATATACGCCTTGACACTAGTTGTTGGCACAATCCGTCAACGTTTGACTCCATCTGTGTTTGTACCATTGTTTGTCTTGTTGTTAGAAGTGTACAACGGTTTGGTCCGGTCCAGATCGAACCAAACTCCTGAGGATCGTGGTCCATTAACAAAATACATTGTAGCACCGATGACCGGATCATCATTGCATTCGGTACATTTAGCCGCGTCCAAATACAGAACCAAGTGTGTTATAATGTATTTACATCCATCAATTCTATTGGATGATGCCCTTTTCCTCATTTGTGTACGGATTACCCTAGCTAGCTATATTCGAATCCTCCTTGAATCAAGTACCATCGTTCCTCAAAATTGAGGGGCTAGCTAGCTACGAACGATGATGAACCATGAATAATTGATCATTATATATATAAACACACCGTTCTTCCCCGTTAATTACACTCTCCCCACAACTAAACAATTTGAATCAATTCCCTCTATTTGCCTCCCTCTCCCTCGCCGGCCTCTCGCTGGAATCTGGCCATGGCAATTACAAAAGCCATGGCGACGTCGTTAGCGGGCAATTTGAAAAGGGTCGTCGGAATGCCGCTAGTTGCTGTCCTCTTCTCCTTCATTTTCTTCTTCACGATTCCCAGCTGTGTTTCCCAACTCACAAGGCTGGAACACCAAGTGAAGGACGATGGTTCGCTCAGCCTTTTGGTTGTTGGGGATTGGGGCAGGCGTGGCCATTTCAACCAGACCATCGTTGCTTCCCAGGTTACTATTTGTCTGGTATTTTACTAATGATGATTTAATGGATGCTTGGATTAGGGATGATTAAATTGAAATGTGATTTGCAGATGGGAAGAATTGGGAAGGAATTAGATATAGACTTCGTGATTTCAACGGGTGACAATTTTTACGATGATGGGCTTAAAGGCCCACACGATCCAGCTTTTGAAGAGTCTTTCACAGAAGTTTACACTGCAAATAGCCTCCAGAAGCCATGGTATACAGGTAAGTATACACATCTCTCGTTATGTTATATAATCAAATAGTATACTTAATTCATCATTTCCTGTTATTTAATCAATGTGGCATTTCCCCCAATTTGTACGTGTAGTTCTGGGGAATCATGACTACAGAGGTGACGCGGTTGCACAATTGGATCCATTTCTTAGGAAAGTTGACAGCAGATGGCTCTGCCTCAGATCTTTCATGCTCGATACAGGTAACATAATTCAATCAACTCTTCGTTTCCCCGCCTGTTAATTAGCTTGATGTTTTAGCGTGCTAAACTATATTGGTCATTGACTCAAATTACCAGAAATTGCAACGTTCTTTTTTGTGGACACGACCCCGTTCGTGGACAAGTATTACACCGAGAAATCCCACACTTACGACTGGCGAGATGTCTCGCCACGCAGAGCCTACCTTGCCAACCTTCTCAAGGTAATTTTTTTTAATGATATTATACATTACTAATCAACATAATTACAAGATTAGCGAAACATTGCAACGAGCTTAATTACGCTAAATAATGAAAGGATTTGGAGAATGCACTAAGAGAGAGCAGCTCGAGATGGAAGATCGTGGTTGGCCACCATGCAATCAGAAGCGCCGGAACCCACGGCGACACCGAAGAGCTCATACAACATCTCCTTCCCATTCTAAAGGTTTTCACTCTTCGTAACTGTTGTTTCAATTTTTGTCAATACCTTTTGTGACCGAACAAAAAACTGTTGCAAAAAAGCTTCTTTGTTGCCATTTTGGTGCTTTTGGAGACCATTTTCTTGGAGGGTAATTTGTGAGTTCTCTTAATACGTCTATTTGTTCTTGTGTATAGGCCAACGATGTAGATCTGTATGTAAATGGTCATGACCATTGCCTGGAGCACATCAGCAGCCATGATAGGTAACCAACATTGTGTACTAGCATATAGAGCTAGATAAAATTTCGTATTAGGGTAGTGTGTTAGGCTCGTGTATAGATCGACTAGTTATATATCGATTCATGATGTATTATAAATTGCTATGATTTACGAAACTTATTTTTGCGTGCATGGCGCGCGCGGAGTATAGCCCGATTCAGTATCTGACGAGCGGAGCGGGCTCGAAAGCATGGAGGGGTGACACTAAGAAGTACGATGAACGTGTGATGAAGTTCTTCTATGATGGTCAAGGATTCATGTCCATGCAACTCACAAGCACCAATGTTGAGGTTCTGTTCCATGATGTTCTTGGTGAAGTTCTGCATCGGTGGAAGGTCTCTAAGGACCTTCACTCCTCTATATGATCGAGGAATGAGGATTCTTCTTCACACGTTTTTTTTTTCAATTGATTGCACATAATTCCATTTTTGTTTCCATGGAGGAATTTTCCCCCGATTCTTTCTCTTTTGGGGGATTGATTTTTTGTTGTGTAAATATGATTATTTTGTAAATATATTTGTTTTCTTCCTTTCTTTATTTACCATCTTATAAGTTAGAAGGTAATAGTGTGTTGAGATGTATATACATAGAGTGCTCATTGTAAATCTCTCACAATTTTCCCCCAATTATGAGGTACTTATTGGTGTTATAACTTTTTTTTCTCTTTCGACTGGCTTCTCTAGACTTGTGGAGTTGTGGTAAATAGGTATTGTTATTAATTGGGTGCTTCAGTTCCTTCTTTTTTCTTATTTTCATCGTAAAGATTATGTGAATGAGGTCGTGACCGAGTGGTCGTGCCTGCTGGTTTTTAGGCTGGAGATCTTTGGTTCAAATCCCACCCTTCTAGTAGCACCATGTAACAGGTCTCTGTACAAAAATAATACAAATTATTACATAATTGAGACTTACACCTCTATTTTAAATCACATCAATATTGAACTGATTAAGCAAACTCTCTTGACACACAACCTAGCTAGAAATATAGAAAATACAAATGACACAATAGCCAAAGCCAGCCCAACTCTACATGGAACGTTGAAGCCCAACTTGAACACCACAAACAGTCAAACACGACAGCAGCAAGCATAATAGTTGCGATTTATTTCAATATTTCCTCCCCTAAACTGAAACGTGTTAACATTTCAGTTTATCCTTCAATCCAAGTTCTATAACCCAGCTATGCAAGTCCTTCAGCGACTAACTTTAGTTGTAGCAGCAGCTTAAGCAATTTGCTGCAGCAGACGTCAATCTTACTTCATGAATTGAACATCAAACACAAGCTCCAAAATCCTTTGTAGTCGAACTTATCGACAAGCTACTCCTTCTTCCTTGAACCCATAGCATTATTTCCAGCATTACTCATGCAGCCTATTTCAATCCTCTTCCATAGATCAGTTAGGTGATGAACAATTTTCTTGCCTCCTTTCTCAGCTTTCCATTGAAGCTTGACAACCACATTTTACACATGATATGTATAACTCTAGACATCTTATTTCCCACGACTTGAATACCACTGAGACATGTCTCTTTGCCATCCCAGCTCTCACTAGAATGTTGGGAAAAAACTTCTGATGAAACAGACTGAAAATTCATCTTGCCTGATTTTGGTGATGATGCATAATATTTTGATGCACTAGCTGCTCCTCTAGCAGTAAAATTCTTTCTAATTTTATAAGCATCACTTTGATCTTTCGTTACAACCTTCAATTTCTTGGTTTCCAGTTCACTCCTCAATTGTGCTCGATACTTGTGTTCCACTTGGAAAGCTGAAGGGCATAAATCTCCATGTTGAATCTCATTAACATGCTTCACCTCTGTCTTCTTTCCAGAACAAATTCCATAGTTTGGAATCCCCATCAGATACTTTATGCCTCTCTTGGAAGCCCAGAAACAGTCTATTATGATAGCTTTCATGCACCTTCCTCTCGCCAAATTAGTGTCCAGAAACATAACCCCTTTCCTGCATAGAGTTACAAGTAACATATCTGCCCCTTGCATTGTGATAACCAAGTTATGATCATTAGCACACACAAGTTTACACAATATCTCATACTTATCAAATCCATCACTTGAACCCACTCAAAGACCTTCTTTGCATGCTTCTTTTCCTCTCCTGCAACCACCAACTCTTGGGGTTGCAAATCCACTGCCTCTGCACAACTTGGAGGATTATCAATATTTGCAAACATATAATTATTGTATATATCCAGGTAAATAGGTCTAATTTTAACTATAGAATCCAATTCCTCAACTATTACAGTCTCTTCTTCCACTTAACATTACTTGTTGGTATCACAAAAGGTTGTGTGCAGCTGCCCACTGCTGAGCTGGAAGCAGGTTCAGATGTAGCACCAACACACACCAAACTAGATGTTCTCAAGTAATTGACTAGGTCACTTGCAATTGCCCACTTAGATCTTGATCCCTGCAACAAACCACCTCCAAAACCACTACTTTCCGAGAGCTGAAAGCTCTCTAGCAGCTCCTTAGTACTATTTTTTGGACAATGGAAAACCCCTTGATCACCTTGTGAAACTTTAACACTGTCCAAGTATCTCATTCCACCCGGATCTATTATCTCAACCATAGATTCAATTAAGGTTTTAACCTTCTTAACTAGCTTCTTATGACTTTTGGCAGTCACCAGTTTGGCATCCTCCAGATTATGCACATACAAGCTATCCAATAATGCCAACTCGGACTTTCTAATTAATAACTGGTATTGATACATCAAATACCTCATTTCAATCATGTTGTGCCACGTTCTGAGAAGTATCTTGCTCTCCTCCCCTGGTGGTTGCGTCTCATAAGCACCATCTGTCGTTTTGTGATCAAAACTTGTTATGAATTCTAATGATGAAAAGGAGGGAAGCTCCAACACTGCTGACTCTTCTTTGTCTTCTTGAAACTGCCCTGCACCATATGGATTTGCAGTAGTTGCAGCTGCTGTTTCTGCTGGCTCTTCTTCTTTTTCAAACTGCCACGCCACTACTTCAGCTCTAGTGGCCTGTGGATATTGATGTTCAAGTTTCGAGACAGATTGTGCATCATGAACTAGCAAAGACATCTCCTCATCCTCGAAAATCTCTAGTGCTCCCATTCGAACTCGAGAATCTTCCTCAACCTCCTTGACTGTGTCAAAGAACCACTCACACCGACCTTGATTGTCCACAATCTCTTCTTTTTCGTCTTTAATAGCCATCAACAAAAAATGATCTTGCTCCTTTTGATCTAACTCTTGATCACTATGTGCCCTAAAAAAACATTATCCTTCACATCACCTTGCTCAGAGTATTTTGTATGTTGATTGTACCACTCTGGACAATTAACTCGAAAGTATCCCAGCTTATGACACTTAAGAACACTGAACATTGTCCATGTTCCAGCCTCTTCCACATTGACTGTGTCCTCTACTTCGATAAATCTCACAACCTCTAACACTTCTACCACAAAAAATATGAGTTGTTCTCAAAGTTCGGCCCTCCTTAGCTACTGGTCTTTTCTTGAACTTCTGCTCATGAACAAGTAGCGAGCTTTGTAGAGCATCAACAAACAAAGTATCTATATCTTTAGACTCCTCATACAACAAACTATGTAATTTTACTGTTCACTAAATTTCCTCAAGATCTTTTCAACGATCCTGACCTCAGAGATGGATTCTCCACAATTTATCATGGCATTTACTACCACAATCACCCTGCCAAAATACTATGTTACTGTTTCTCCATTCTGCATCTCTAGGACTTCAAACTCCCTTCTCAATGATTGTAACCGAGCCTTTTGAACCCTAACACTCCCTTGGAACTTGGTCTTCATCAAATCCCACAGCTCCTCGAAGTTGCCTTCCAAGTGATAGTCTTCAAGATGGTTTTGTCGATGATGCTGAATAGGTAATTCTTCGCTTTGAGATCCTTCAGTCTCGACTCCTCCAAGGCCATCTTTTCGGCAGCAACCAACTCAATTCCAGCCTTTGGCTCCTTGGTTCCTTCACACACAATAGTCCAATATTCCATTGAACGTAGTAAATTCTCCATCAGGAGACTCCAATGATCAAAATCTCCATCAAACTTAGGAATGCACGCTTGCACAAAGCTTGAATCTCCCATGATCAATTGATCACTACTCCCTCACACAATCGTTTTACCTTTTCTGTTACACTCACCAATGACAGACTACCTCACCAAAGCTCTCGTGTTTCCCTACGCCCAGCTTGAAAAAACACACACTAAATTACACTCTTAGAAACGTGGTTACAGTTTGCTATTGGCTCTAATACCACGTGTTGAAACCAATATGCCGCAAACTGACAAAAGCTTTATTGAATGGAAAACAAAATATATATACATCTCTCTTGATCAATCTCTCGCTTATCTCTGCCCTCATCCTCACGTCCCTAAAACTTAGCATTCCTAGTAACAGAACCCTCTATATACGGCTGATTAAGCAAACTCTCTTGACACACAACCTAGCTAGAAATATAAACAATACAAATGACACAATAGCCAAAGCCCAGCCCAACTCTACATGGAACGTTGAAGCCCAACTTGAACACCACAAATAGTCAAACACGACAGCTGCAAGCATATCAGCTGCTATTTATTTCAACAATCAATCCTACCCTTCTACTATTAGACAACATTCAAACGTGCCCCTCTGTTTGTTCTTATCATCTCATTATATGACCTGTTTTGCATTGTTAATTCGTATTTTTAGTCATTTTAACTTGAATTGACTTTATATTTGCTCGAAGATGTATTTGATAGCCTATAAAACTGTTTTTACACAACCAAAAGGGAGGATCGCCACATCTGCCACCTCCAAGTCACACAATCAAAAGGGAGAATCCGCATAGGCAAAGTGAAAAAAAAAACGAATTGGATCCAATCCAGCGGAGGTGATGATCTGGTAAAAGGGAATGTATTGACGGCCACCGGTGGAGAGGAAATCAGACTCTCCTTTTAAGACGGAGAATTGACCTTGTTTTCTTTCCCCTTTGTATGAAGTGAAAGAACAACGAAAACGAGGGATAAACTTATCTTCTAGATCGCAAGCAGGGACGGAGCTAGCTCGTACTTAGGAGCCCCCCCCCCTAAAATTTATAAATAAGCAAAAGCATAAGTAGATAATGTATTAAGTAGAGATGGTGTGGTGGTTATAACGCTTAGCAAATAGTAGTCCTTAAAGAAAGGTTTCTGGTTCGAAACTTCACTCTTCTTTTTCAAGCCAATTTTAATTTTGGCACCTCTTCGCCAACTCAATCGTGGGGTTGGTGAGTGGTGACCCGACCCAGCCTTTGACCTCCTGTTTTCCTAATATTCACAATCTACATATATTTAGTGCATCACTCTTCCTTTTATGAATCATAGATTTCATTTAGTGACTATAACTCTTAAATTTTGAAAAACACATGTAAACGTAAGAATATAGTCAATGTAGTGTTTGATGATTATGAGACATAACTGATATTATATGTGGCGGAGATGTAAGAGTTTGAACTATGCCTCTGTATTAATATGTTTATTTTAGTTAATATGAATTTTCTATGCACTTTTTAGTTATGTTGTCGATTTCTTTACAATTGTCTTCGTATTGACAAAATTTATCATCTTCATGTCCATATTTATTAGATCTCGACTACTTTATTTTACTATTGGATTGTATTCGAATTTGTGAATTATGAAATTGGTATATGAAATACATGGTTCTCTTATCATGAGTTTAGAAGGGATAAGTCCTTACGTTTTAATTTTGACTCAATTTTAAGTGGCATGTACCAAAAATTTTGTAAACTCATTGTACGTAATTAAAATTTTCTTATCGGTATGTTGAAAAAAAATTCCCCCCCCCCCCTCCCCCTTAATCAAGAATCCTAGCTCCGTCCCTGATCACAAGAAGACATTGTTAAAGCAGGAAAAGAAAACTCGCACCTGAAACACAATGGACTTCTCGGCGGCGGCCGTGCGAATGTTAATGAATTGTACAACAATGTCGGAATGGGTTAGGATGGTTACCATTTTTTTGGTAGCCATCGTGGCTACCTATATCTCTACTCTCCATTCTCAAAAATTTTAAATTGACAGTCATGATTGATTGAGGTTAATGTTGGACAAAAAATAATAGCCACACTGGATTACTATCCTTTAAATATAACTTTCCATATATTTTCCAAATCTCTAATAATTATCCCAATCCTAACAAACTATTATATGTCTTCTTTCCTCTCTCTCTAGCGAAAGATGTTCTTCATCTCCGCCTCTCCTCTCCCTCGCCGTCCCTCCCTCTCCACCCCCAGCCGTCCTGTCGTCCCTCTCTTCCTCCTCATCCCTCCCCTTCGCCAGCCTCTCCCCTCCCCATCCCAAGCCACCCCCTCCCCCCGCCGTCCCCACCCCTCCCCTAACCACCCCACCCCCTCCCCCCATCGTCCCTGCCTCCTTCCTCCTCCTCCTCTCTCTCTCTCTCTCTCTCTCTCTCTCTCTCTACAGGCGGCTGGAAAAGGTTGGATGAATAAAAACCCTAGATCTTATTTTTTCGCATTGGTAGTGATTTTTTCGTATTGGTAGTATTTTTCGCATTGGTATTGTTTTTGTCGCATTGGTATTGATTATCATATAATGGTATTAATTTGCATGTATTGGTATTGATTAAATCTGCAATGGTATTGATTTTTTTTGAAATGGTATAGATTTAGATTAGTAGATTGTTTATATTGGTAGTTTTCGTGTAATGGTATAGATTTATTTCTGCAATGATTTTGATATTTTTCAAAGTGGTAGTGGTTGTCTAATGGATTGGTAGTGATTTCATGTTTTTTTCTTTTCCAGAAAGATTGAGAAAAATAAGGAAAGGGGATCTGGCTGGATATTATGGAAGTGAGAGAAAAAGGGAGAATTGTAATTAATAGATTTTTGTAACTACCTAAAATGTAATTTATTAAAAAAATTAGGTAATACAATTTATTTTTCATACCCAATTTACCCTTAGTAACCACGGTGATTACTACAAAAGTAGTAATCACCGTAACCTGTCCCCAACAATGTCGCCAGCGCCGCAAATAAAGCTCCTCTTTGATAAGCCCCATGTGAGGTTCGGTGTTTTAATTGCTTGATTTATGATTTTCTTTTGTAGGGTATAATCTGGTGGTTGAGTGTGATTCGGTTGGAGTTAATTGGTTTGGTTTATTATTTTTTATTAATTTTTTTGTGTGACATGGTGTGTAGATTAGAGAATTAATGAATTTTGGAATGGAGATGGACGGAATGATCATTTTGTTATTTATCCAAACGTGTTTTATTGAAATAGGCAAAATCAAACTTTCATGAACATTTTGTACTAAGTGATAAATTGTGTGACCTAATTATCCTAATTATCTCCCAAAAAAAGTCAGGCTGAAAATTTGAAGAAACCCACCAAACTATTCTGTCTTCAAGCTAGCACTGGACTTTGAAGCCCAACTCGTGAATAAGCTAGCGTAACTTGACTAAGATTTTTCCCGCATAAATTTTTACTTCTAAATTGGTTTTCTCTCATCTTCACTCTCACACCATTAATAGACAATGAAGCATACAAAGTGAGTGAGTGAGGATCAAGATCATGAGTTTCCTGTCAATATCAAGAAGGATGATTGTTGTGATTCTACATAGAAAACTGATGATAATTAAGGATATTTACCCTCTATTCCATTATCTAGGCTCCCGATCACATAAGATCATCATAATAATCTAATCAAATGAACGCACATTTTCCTTTCTTGTTTCCCACATTTTCTCCAGAAAATACACATTTTTTATTACTTTTTTTTATGGTTATTTTTTTATTACTTCTTGTGGGACACTCTGATCTTCTATAAATGGACTGACAGTTGAGTAATAATTTCTTCATAGCCAAAATTTCAAGGCAACACCTCGAATGAGATACCCTTGTATTAGGGTGCGTTCATTCTATTAGATTATTATGATGATCTTATGCGATCGGGTGCCTAAATAATGGAATAGAGAGTAGATAACATTGGTTATCATCCGTTTTCTTTAGACCGTGTAGGATCACAACAATTGTCCTTCTGGACATTGACATTGAACTCATAATCTTGATCCTCACTCATTTACTTTGTATGCTTCAGTTTCTACTAATGGTGGTGAGAGAGTGAAGACGAGAGAAACCCAGTTTGGAAGTCAAAATTTATGTGGGATAACGTTTAGTTGATATACGCTTGCTTATTCGTGAGTTAGACTTCAAAGCCTAGTGTCGGCTTGAAGACATAATAGTTTGGCGGGCTTCGTCAAATTTTTGGGGGTTGCTATTCGTTGCACTAAAATTCTTTATTCGTCGCCCTAATTATGATGATATTACATTAGCAACCCCCAAAAAATTTATTCTTTATTCTTTATTCTTAAAATTTATTCTTTATTCTTTATTTGTCGCGCTAATGTAATATCATCATAATTAGGGCGACGAATAAATAATTTTAGTACCACGAATAGCAACCCCCAAAAATTTGACGAAGCCCGCCAAACTATTATGTCTTCAAGCCGACACTAGGCTTTGAAGTCTAACTCACGAATAAGCAAGCGTATATCAACTAAACGTTTTCCCACATAAATTTTGACTTCCAAACTGGGGTTCTCTCGTCTTCACTCTCTCACCACCATTAGTAGACACTGAAGCATACAAAGTGAATGAGTGAGGATCAAGATTATGAGTTCAATGTCAATGTCAAGAAGGAAAATTGTTGTGATTCTACACGGTCTAAAGAAAACGGATGATAACCAATGTTATCTACTCTCTATTCCATTATTCAGGCACCCGATCGCATAAGATCATCATAATAATCTAATAGAATGAACGCACCCTAATACAAGGGTATCTCATTCGGGGTGTTGCCTTGAAATTTTGGCTATGAAGAAATTATTACTCAACTGTCAGTCCATTTATAGAATATCAGAGTGGCCCACAAGAAGTAATAAAAAAAATAACCATAGAAAAAGTAATAAAAAAATGTGTATTTTCTGGAGAAAATGTGGGAAACAAGAAAGGAAAATGTGTGTTCATTTGATTAGATTATTATGATGATCTTATGCGATCGGGAGCCTAGATAATAGAATAGAGGGTAATATCCTTAATTTTCATCAGTTTTGTATGTAGAATCACAACAATCATCATTCTTGACATTGACAGAAACTCATGATCTTGATCCTCACTCACTCACTTTGTATGCTTCATTGTCTATTAATGGTGTGAGAGTGAAGATGAGAGAAAACCAATTTAGAAGTAAAAATTTATGCGGGAAAAAGTTTAGCCAAGTTACGCTCGCTTATTCACTAGTTGACCTTCAAAGCCCAGTGCTAGCTTGAAGACAGAATAGTTTGGTGGGTTTCTTCAAATTTTCAGCCTGACTTTTTTTGGGAGATAATTAGGATAATTAGGTCACACAATTTATCACTTAGTACAAAATGTTCACGAAAGTTTAATTTTGCCTATTTCAATAAAACACGTTTGGATAAATAACAAAATGATCAATCCGTCTATCTCCATTCCAAAATTCATTAATTCAGTCTAATCTACACACCTTGTCACACAAAAAAATTAATAAAAAATAATAAACCAAACCAATTAACTCCAACCGAATCACACTCAACCACCAGATTATACCCTACAAAAAAAAAATCATAAATCAAGCAATTAAAACACCGAACCTCACATGGGGCTTATGAAAGAGGAGCTTTATTTGCGGCGCTGCCGACATTGTTGGGGACAGGTTACGGTGATTACTTCTTTTGTAGTAATCACCGTGGTTAGTAAGGGTAAATTGGGTATGAAAAATAAATTGTATTACCTAATGTTTTTTAATAAATTACATTTTAGGTAGTTACAAGAATCTATTAATTACAATTCTCTCTCTTTCTCTCACTTCCATAATATCCAGCCAGATCCCCTTTCCTTATTTTTCTCAATCTTTCTGTAAAAGAAAAAAACACGAAATCACTACCAATCCATTAGACAACCACTACCACTTTGAAAAATATCAAAATCATTGCATAAATAAATCTATACCATTACATGAAAACTACCAATATAAACAATCTACCGATCTAAATCTATACCATTTCACAAAAAATCAATACCATTGCTGATTTAATCAATACCAATACATGCAAATTAATACCATTACATGATAATCAATACCAATGCGACAAAAACAATACCAATGCGAAAAATACTACCAATACGAAAAAAATCACTACCAATGCGAAAAAAATAAGATCTAGGGTTTTTATTCATCCCACCTTTTTCAGCCGCCTGTAGAGAGAGAGAGAGAGAGAGATAGATAGAGAGAGAGAGAGAGAGAGAGAGAGAGAGAGAGAGGAGGGTGGAGGAGGAAGGAGGCAAGGACGATGGGGGGAGGGGTGGGGTGGTTAGGGGAGGGGTGGGGAACGGCGTGGGGAGGGGGTGGCTTGGGATGGGGAGGGGAGAGGCTGGCGAAGGGGAGGGATAAGGAGGAAGAGAGGGACGGCAGGACGGCCGGGGGTGGAGAGGGAGAGACGGCGGGGGAGAGGAGAGGCGGAGATGAAGAACATCTTTCGCTAGAGAGAGAGGAAAGAAGACATATAATAGGTTGTTAGGATTGGGATAATTATTAGAGATTTGGAAAATATATGGAAAGTTATATTTAAAGGATAGTAATCCAGTGTGGTTATGATTTTTTGTCCAACATTAACCTCAATCAATCATGACCGTCAATTTAAAAATTTTGAGAATGGAGAGTAGAGATATAGGTAGCCACGATGGCTACCAAAAAAATGGTACCCATCCTAACCCATTCCGACATTGTTGTACAATTCATTAACATTCGCACGGCCGCCGCCGAGAAGTCCATTGTGTTTCAGGTGCGAGTTTTCTTTTCCTGCTTTAACAATGTCTTCTTGCGATCAGGGACGTAGCTAGGATTCTTGATTAGGTGGGGGGGACATTTTTTTCAACATACCGATAAGAAAATTTTAATTACGTACAATGAGTTTACAAAATTTTTGGTGCATGCCACTTAAAATTGAGTCAAAATTAAAACGTAAGGACTTATCCCTTCTAAACTCATGATAAGAGAACCATGTATTTCATATACCAATTTCATAATTTACAAATTCGAATACAATCCAATAGTAAAATAAAGTAGTCGAGATCTAATCAATATGGACATGAAGATGATAATTTTGTCAATACGAAGACAATTGTAAAGAAATCGACAACATAACTAAAAAGTGCATAGAAAATTCATATTAACTAAAATAAACATATTAATACAGAGGCATAGTTCAAACTCTTACATCTTCGCCACATCTAATATCAGTTATGTCTCATAATCATCAAACACTACATTCACTATATTCTTACGTTTACATGTGTTTTTCAAAATTTAAGAGTTATAGTCACTAAATGAAATCTATGATTCATAATAGGAAGAGTGATGCACTAAATATATGTAGATTGTGAATATTAGAAAAACAGGAGGCCAAAGGTTGGGTCGGGTCACCACTCACCAACCCGTTGCCCATTTGTAGCGGTCGGTGTTCAGCTAGGGCAAGGGGGGAACAGTTAGCTGAGTAACCGAAGGTGTTTAATCGTGGTTATCCGACTAACCGATCTCCAACCGAACCTCAATTAACCTTCCCTTCCTTCCCCG